TCAGAGGTCGCTGGTGACGCGCGGGGAACGTACATGGAAGGACGAGAAAGCGCCTCTGCTTGCACGCTGAGAGGAAGGGGGGGGGGGGGGGGTGTGTAAGTGGAGCGGCCTCGGAATCAATGTACTTGCTTAAGCGCGCAGGTGGCAAGCTTGCTTCAATTTTTTTAAAGAATGACGGGCTCGTCGTGAGATTCGCGTCTTACTGCTCTCTTTTCCTCTTCCTCCTCCTCCTCGGTCCTCTTTATCGACGCGGGGGCCTGCGGACCATTTAGAAACGGGTGTCTCGCAATTTGCGTGCAGTACGGCAAAGATCTGCAGTGGCCCTCCCGCGAAGCCCAACCGTGATGATGAGCTTGGTCGAAACTCCCTTGCCAGTGTTTTAATGTACACCAGCAGCGGCCCACTACTCGCTAGTTCACGCACCGGCGGACCTAAATAAAGTTTTTTTTTTCTTACATATCATACCGTTATAACATACCGCTATTGACACATGGAATAAGTCACGGAATGACGTTGTACTGTGTAACAATGTTAAAAATTTTGAATGTGCGTTTCAAATGTTGAACTGAGCTGTGATAAGGCACTCACTTGGTCACCTGTGTTCTGCCGTGTTGTGCTGCAGGGTGCGCATTGAATGTTGGATTTTTTATTTATTTTTTTTGCATTGCTTTTGCTTTCTTTGTGTCAAATTGTGAGATGTTCCACTTTTGCATTGACTTTTGAAATTTGCGTGCCCAGATGAGCAACTCCTGTTTTGGCATGTATGCTAACAGTATGAATAAAATACAATGAAAAATAAAATAAAATAACCAAATGATAAACGGCGCCCTCTATAACGGTTTAACCTTGAGGGCCGCTTCGAAAATAGTAACACTTGTAATTAATATGCCGCCCACTGAACTGATAGGCGTAGTTCATCAAGACGGGTCGGTTCGGTACAAACTGACAAAAAAAAACAGAAAAACAAAACGCAGGTACCCGGCACTTGTTCTCGCTCGTCGGCGTTCGTGTGCGCTGGTGTACTGTTTGGGTTAGGTTAACGACGCGTTTCGTAGCGCTGCTGAAGCGGATCTCGGAGGCCGCGCTTTAAGAAGGGCGTGGTTGAAACCTGCTCCGCCAGGTGCCGCTGTGATCCCAGCTGCTCACATTACTTCAATGAACTCAATCAGTTAACTTTAGTTAACTTTGTGAACTATCCTGACAGTCAGTTGTATTTTTTCGGTAGGTAAAATTATCATCTGGTATCGTATGTATACTATATAACTAACTGTCAACTCGAACCGGGACAATCAATTTTTTATGAGTTTATTTTTTTAGTTTTCTTACGAATATTCTGAAAACCGGAAGTGAGTGATCTACCGGATGTGCTTCGAAGGGAAATAAAAGCGTAACTCGATGATAACGTGAAAAACGAAAGACTGGACGCTTCCACTGCTCTTTAGCGAGTGTGCGTTTTTTTTTCTGTTTTTTTTTTCGCGGTTCAGTATTTTGTTTGTATAGGTAGAAACACGTCCTTTGTGCCGGCGTGACCTAGATGAATAACCGACGGACAACCGTAAACATTTCCAACTCTCTGTCTAGCTCGAAAGCTGGATGTATGCCGATTACCACCTCTATTCTTGCCGAACTGCACTCAATTAACGACTCACGAAAAGACGGTGGTAGAAAGAGCATCGCGCGGCGGTCGGTCCCTGCAGACCTGGCCCGGAAAGGGGCCCATTTTTGGACGGTATGCGGGCGAGAGAGAGAAAGGGTGAGGGCTGTTGTACAACAACCTCTTCGTTGCGTTGCAGAGGCCACATAACTATGCCGCGGGACAGTCCGCGTACACATGCAGGACTGTTCTTTGTTTTGTTTCTATTTTTACTTGTAAACCTGCCCACCACCACCACCTGTCCTCCCGGTAGTTCGCCGTGCCGCTCCCGTTCTCTTTGTTGCCCTCGCCCTCTCTCTCTCTCTCTCTCTCTCTCTCTCTCTCTCTCTCTCTCTCTCTCTCTCTTCTTCGAGTATCGGCGACTGCGGTTCCTGAGACGTAGCTGATATGCCAAGTCTTCGACTCAAACTGCTCGCCACTGCAAGACGGCCTTCCTTTTCTGTTAATATTTGACGTTCTTCCTTCCTTTTGGAAAGGGAGTGCGAGAGAGAGAGAGAAGGGGCACGCCTACAACATACACACTCCTGCAGCCGTATCCTATAAGTCTCCTCCTTCGTGAAACCAGACCTCACACACGGCACTCGCACGTCTTCCCTCGCGTATTAGTAGACGACGTCGCCCGTAGAAGTCGACCCCCCGTTCTCTTTATCGGCTCCCGAGGTCCTTGGCGGGGTCCTTTCCGCCGCCGCAGCTTTCTTTCCTTCGACGCCATCTTTCTTTCGGGCCTGCACCACCTTGCCCTTGCTAGCAGCCTGCCGCTCGCGTGTTTTTGTCTCTTTATTTCCGAGTCCCTCGCCCTCTTTGTGGCTTCCTGTTCCGACGGCGCCTGACTGCGACTCCTCCGTATTTTTTTTTTTTTGTCTTGATATGTTTTATCGCTCGAAAGAATTCAAGGCGTAGCAGGAGAAAAAAAAAAAGAACGGAACGAAATCGCGTGGAATGGTGAGAAAGAAAAAAAAAAAAGAAAGCCCCCCCCCCCCCCCCTCCGCCTTCTCTGCACCCCCCCTTCTGTTGCGTGACGCCTGTCGTTTAAGGAGTGGTCCCATCGGACGCTCTCAGCGCTGGCTGGTTCTCATTGAAAAAAAAGAAGCGGACAGGCGAACTGATGGTGAGGGGAGGAGATGATGTTAGGGGAGGTGGGCATGGTTCGTCGCCAGGAAGACACCTGTCCCTGCACCGCACGTCGTAGTCGACGACGTCTTTTCGCCGTTCCAGTTGTGCTCTCTTCTTCTCATGGCCGAATCGATGTGTTGTGGCATATCTCGCTCTATCCAAAGAATAGTTCCTCAAATGTGGGTGTAATTTGGACCCGCTCTTTTATTTATTTATTTTTTTGCGCACTCGGTTGTTTGCACGTAGAGCCTCTGCATTTCAGTGGCCTCAGATATCGACAACCAAGTCTCTGAGGCCACTTTATAACTGAAAGAAATGGCAAAATTACTACCCCTGAAAAGTAATAATAATGTGATAATAATAATAACACCCGTGATTTTACGTCCCAAAACCACGATATCATTATGAGAGACGTTGTACTAAAGTTCTCCAAAAGGTTCGACCGTCTGGAGTTTTTTTTAATAACGAGCACTGACGTCACACAACTCGTGTTTTCTTTTGAGAATCAAGGGCTCCGAGATCGCCCCGACCGATCTCGGAGGCCATTTTCTCCTGGCCGATGGGCGGCCTTTTGACTGCGCGGGTCGATGTTTTGAACCACACGGTGTCGTGTGAGGTGTAGTCAAGGAAGTGTTGCGTCACCAGACTCATCACACCGCGCGTGCCTCGTCAATCAATCAATCAATCAGTTTATTATTATTACGTCACACTCGTGCTCACCTCTTTTCGCCCACTTCGTGACGCCTGCGCGTTAAATAATAATAAAAAAACGTGGTTGTCCCTTTGCAGCCTTCACGCTCGCAATCTGCAAGATTACGTCTTTTCCTTCCTGTATTTTTTATTTTTTCGACACGTTCCACGCACCACGCGTGCCCCCCCCCCCCCCCCCCCCCCGACACGTTTGTGCGGGCCTCGTACCTTCTTTTCGCGTGATGTATCATACGGTGTACATCGACGTGCAGTTTTCAATGAAATGTTAATTGACGACACGAGGTGCTCAATCGCAAGAAGGAAACAAAAAAAAAAGCCTAGCTTGCGTTAACGCTGGGTCTCACCAGAGTTTGATGGGCACGTTTCTCTTGATAGCCACCAGTACTGGACGAAGGTCGTGGGTTTGACTCCGGCCGCAGCTGCGGTCACATTTCGGGCGAGACGAAACAGTAGAGACCAGTGGTGTGACCAGTGGCTGGCACATTACCAGCAACGGTACCACTTTGCGACACCGCGGCCGCTGAAATTCAACTCGCCATGGTTGCCTAGTTCTTACGGCGCTCGACTGCCCACGTGCAGTTCGCGGGATCGAATCCCGGCCGTGGTGGCCCTGTTTACGGCGGAGGCTATAGAATGATGGATGCCAGTGTGCTTAGATTTAGGCATGCATTAAAGGATCCCACGTGGTAGAAATTTCCGTCGTCCTCCTCCTCTTTCATGGCGTCTATTCTATCAGTATGATGGTTTTGTGGTGTTGAACGGGCCCTTAAACACTTTTTCAAGTAACCATGAAATGAATTCACTGGAAGAGCTTATTGCCTCATGAACTCAGGGCAGCAAGAATTTTTAAGAATCCGTCCAGTGCGAGTGGAGTTACAAAGGTTTGTCGCATGCTGCAATTGCATTCTCTCATCTCTCGTCCCGACGAAAGCGCTGGAAGCTAAGCAGGAAGGAATGGCAGGGTGCCATAGAAAAACGTCACGAACGTCTCGTGACCTTGAGCATTTTTTTTTTCTTTTTTTCCCCCCTTTCGAATGCGCGCCTTTGTCAGTGTGATCGCGCGCGCACGCGTGGACAAGTAGCGGCCTCCCGCGACGATTTCTGTAATGAGCGCGCGTGCCATGTTCAAATCTGCCAATGGCTGATAGATATACTTACTACTTTTGGTGGCTTTGGGCTAGTTGTTGGTATGACGTGACGGTAGTTATAGCGCGAGAACAGAACGACGACAAAGGGGCCCTTTGTCGTGCTATAACTACCGTCAGGACATACTACTTGTAATTTTTGGGCATACCGCGTGATTTGTCGAGAGAAGAGAAAGCAGTTTTCAGCTGACTGGTAATTTGTTAGTAATTTATTGTATATTTTGTTCTTGCTCGTCCCAGTAATCGGGCGTTTACTCAAAGAAGTAACACGTCTGCACGGACAATCTTTTGCTTTACTGCGCATTCGCCTATTACGTGTCACGTGATCACTGTCGTCTAACACGTTGTGTTTTTTTTCTCTCTTTTTCCATTCGCAGTGCTGTGTGCCAAGAATTTGTGCAAGAAGGACTTCTTCCGTAAGTGTGGGCTTTATTGTTGTTTCCTTTTCCCCCCCTTTTTTTAATCGTTAGATCTATACGCACATACGTTGGCTTTCTCTTTCAGATTACCCGCTTCGCAGCCGCGGTGTAACATAACCTAATCCTTATCCTATCTTATCTCATCGCGGATGTTCTAGTAACTTGCCAGAAAAGGCAGCCTTGTAATCTTATCCTATCTTATCTCATCGCGGAGGTTCTAGTAACTTGCCAGAAAAGGCAGTCTTCCGTGTCGCTTTTCTCTCGCGACCATCCCACTTGAAAGGTCGCTAGAGGGAAACAATCATCATCATCATAATTTTGACTACGCCCATTGCAAGGCAAAGGCCTCTCCAATGTTCCACTAGTCAACTCGGCCCTGTGCTTGATGCTGCCACTTTATACCCGCAAATTTATCCTAATTTCATCTGTCCACTTAACTTTGTTCCCCACTCGCTTGCGTTTTCTCAGAATCTATAGTCAGTTACTCATAATGACGAGCGGTTACCCTGCCCTATACGTGCTGCGTGCTCAGCCCATCTCCGTTTCTTTTTCTTGATTTCAACTGTCATAGTTGAAATCAAGAAGAAGAAGAAAAAAGGAAAACAACGAATCGGTTTAAATGGATAAATTATTTTGCACCTCAAATGGGTTTCTTAGTAGAAGACTAAATAAAAGTCGAAGTTTTTATTTTTGGCACTTTGTGCTTTATCTAAGCGCCTCACGTGGCGTCAGAAGTTTCAGACATTTATTTATTTATTTTTCACATTGAGTCAAAGTTTTTTTTCTGAAACTTGGCACGGCAAGTCTCTGGCTGCCGCAGAGGACTATGTAGGAAGACAGTGTGCCTTACCTTCAGCTATTAATAACCGCGCGGGAGCGGTTCTTGATGTGTCCACCTTGTGGTATACTGTCCCCTTCGGCCGCCTCTGATTGGTTGGTTGGTTGGTTGGTTTGGAGTTCGTGGATTCCCGAGAAGTTCGGGGAATAGCGCGTTCCCGTTTCTTCTTCTGAAACGTCATTTTGACGTCACGAAGGGTTTCACAACTTTCTACACACAAATGAGAAGAAGGGCGGTGTGCGCCTCAACGAAAGGAGCGCTGCATGCCTCCGGGAGATCCGCTCCGCTTTTTAGGTGCGCCTCTCGGAGGCTGTACACGGACGTCGATCGCGTTAGCCGGTGACTCGAAGGTCGCAGGTTCGGTATACCTGCCGGTGGCAACCTGGCTCTCTGTCCACCTTACTGTCCGCAACGTGTGTATCGCAATTACGGCAATACACGCGAAACAGGTACAGCGCCCCTTAGCGGTGAGAGCCAAAAGCGAATTTGGCGGCTTTCCGGTCAATGCGACAGCGTGGGAGCTTGCTTGTGGGTTCTTTTGCACCCATTGCCTCCGAGATGGTGCGCCCACAGGTTTCGGAGGTGGCGAGCCACCGAAAATGTTTCGGGGTGGCGCCGTTGAAGCGTTTCCTGCAGATGGGGCCCGTGAAAGAGGTCCATTATAACGTTCGCCTTCCTTTTCTTCATTGTCTGCTGATCTTCCCCAAAGTCGTGTCAAAAGTCGTGTCAGAAGAAGATAACAAGGCCTCCAGAATTCTCTTCTAACATTCGAAAAGCAGTACATGTAACAAAGCAAAACATGTTTGACATGCGGGACGATAGTTATAGCGCGAGAACCGAACGACGACACAGAGACAAGAAGGACACGGTCTCTGTGTCGTCGTTCGGTTCTCGCGCTATAACTATCGTCGTGTCATTCCAACTATAGTCCAAGCTGCCACACTTCTAGGTGACATGTAGGGCTTAACGTCCCAAAACCCACCTCATGATTATGAGAGACGCTGTAGGGGAGGGCTCCGTAAATTTCGACCGTCTGGTATTCTTTAAAGTGCACCCAAATCTGAGCCACACGAGCTCACAGCATTTTCGACGGATAGAAAAGTGCAGCCACCGTGGTGGTCTAGTGGATGAGGTACTCGGCTGCTGACCCGCAGGTCGCGGGATCGAATCCCGGCTGCGGCGGATGCATTTTCTATGGAGGCGAAAGTGCTGTATGCCCGTGTGCTCAGATTTGATTGATTTGATTTGTGGTGTTTAACGTCCCAAAACCACCATATGATTATGAGAGACGCCGTAGTGGAGGGCTCCGGAAATTTCGACCACCTGGGGTTCTTTAACGTGCACCCAAATCTGAGCACACGGGCCTACAACATTTCCACCTCCATCGGAAATGCAGCCGCCGCAGCCGGGATTTGAACCCGCGACCTGCGGGTCAGCAGCCGAGTGCCTTAGCCACTAGACCACCGCGGCGGGGCATGTGTGCTCAGATTTGGGTGCGCGTTTCGACTAGCTGGGGTTCTTACCCCAGGTAGTCGAAATTGGCAGATCGCTCCACTACGGCGTCTCTCATAATCATGTGGTGGTTTTGGGACGTTAAACCCCGCATATCAATCAATCAATCAATCAATCAATCAATCAAGCGGCGGGGCCATCAAAACAAAACAAGAAAAGCGGAAATTTAGCAGTTTGTAACAAGAGTCTTAAAGCCGCCGCCGGCGTGAAATACCTCTTCCATCAGACCTTTAAGAACGATTATCCTTCGGAGGTAGCGCGTGCGCGTCTGTGTGTGTGCGTGGCCAGGGCTTCCGCATTGCTGCTGCCCGTCCAGTCGTTCGGCGCGCTGGGCCCAGGTATGTAATGTCGTCACCTCCCCACACATTCCGAGGTATTGTGGGTGGCGGGAGTAAACGTATCTGGCCGGCTGCCCGTTTTCCGGGTCTCGTCTCGGGTTGCGACAGAGTTGCAACCGCGACGCTGCTTGTTTTCGAAATAGTTTAGAGAAAAAAAACTCTCTTCCGGGATCTCTGCTCGGACGTCGACGGGGAATGGAGGTGCACCAAAAAAAAAATAGTAAATGAACGCGTGGCTTGATACTACTATTGGTTAACCGTGACTATCCACGCGAACATACTACGTAACTGAGGATACTATCCCCCGTATTCACAAACGCTGCTCGACTCGACCTTTACCCCCCTTCACTTGAAAGAGTTGAGCACTGCGCCGCACCTCGGCTCAAAATGACGCTGCGCTACTCAAGAATAGCAGCAAATTATCACTGACATGCAGTGACTTGCCCTGCCTAAAGATGGCGCTCCCGTCGGCTTTCTCAAGTGGAGGTGGAGCCGACAAGAGTGGCGATGTGGGCTTGTTGATGAAACATTTGAAAGAAATTTATGTAGCGCGAGGCGAAAAAAACGAACGCAGGAAAGAATAGACTGAGAGGACAGAGCGCTACTATCAACAACATACCGGTTGTTGATAGTAGCGCCTGTCCTTTTATCGGTTGTTGTTTATAGTAGTGCTCTGTCTTCTCAGTCTATTCTTTCCTGTGTTCGTTTTTTTCGCCTCGCGCTACATAAATTTCTTTCAAAGGAGGTGGAGCGTTGAGTGAAGAGGCGTTCTAGAATACGGGGGTATATCTAAAGACAGCATACGTGTAAAAATATACTAAGGATCTTGAGGAGATTGTTAACTGTCGCACAGAAACGTCCTTCAGTGACATACTGTTACACTCATAGCTACATTTTCCAGTTTTTTTTTTTGGTGCTAATCTAGTTTTCATGGTTATAATTATTTTATGTAATAACATGTTACCTTGTGCATTTCCCCCTGCAATAATGCCTTTGGGCGCTGCTGGCAATTTAAAAAATAAATAAATTAATGAACTCCTTTTACCGGTTATACGCCACTGTAAAGGCCTCGCCGTACGTGTGCGGAAGATGAGGCTGCAGATGATGATGATGATGAACAAACTTTATTTAATTAGCAGAAAGGTCCTCCTCCCCTTTCAGGTGCGAGAGGAGAAGGGAGGACCAAACCTAGACGACGGCCACGATCCCATGGGCCCTGGCGGCGTCTAGAGACGTTTCCGAAGTGCGGAGCACTTCGAGGGGGGGGGGGGGGGGCGTATTCTCGTCGATTCCATGCATCTCATCGGTCGTGTTCATGCTCGTTGTAAAGCGCCCAATACAGGCCGTCACAAGGCGAGCAGTTGCTCTTAACCGGTTTAAAAAATGAACGGACGAGATCTGAAGTAATATTAATGGCAGGCATAACCGAGAAGTAATCTCATTAACTAACCTAGAATTGTTGAATTTTTTTCCCCCGAAACATGCCATTGACTCCCGCGACGCGCAATGAACCATTGGGGTCTGATGTATTAGAGAAAAAAAAAAGCTGATTATAGTTGCCGATGAAGTCCAGGCTGGTCCGGGGTTCGAAACCGGGACCAACTCCTTTCCGGGGCGGTCGCTCGACCAACTGAGCTAACCAGGAATCCAGTGATTTGCAGCGGGAGGGCGAATTCGTCGACAACTCGAAGCGCGTGGACACGAGTAATGCAAATGAGTTCTTCGGAAACCCGCAAGGTGGCGAAGGGTTGAAAGGGGTGGGTGAACAGGCTTTTCCCTGTAGCTTTCCTTGTGGGTTCGTCCCACGAACGGGTGGTTCTCCTTTTTTTTTTCCTTTTTAACGAATAATAGTGTCAGTGCATGCGTGAGTCAACTGCCGCATTAACTTGCACAAGCTTTCCTTCACCATTTACGTAACGAGGAGCTGTGGGATGATGCTCTCCGCGATGGTCCTCCCGAGGTCCTCCGAGCTCTGGTACAGCGGTCCCGACCAAAGCCACCTAGAACAGGTGGCTTTGGTCGGGCCACCGTTAACCGACAAGTTAACGGCGGCAAAGAAGGGCGCAACACTGAAGAAAAAACTGAAAACGCTCAATTAAGCTAACTTCAACGTCTTGAAGATTCACGTTAGAATAAATAAATGATGTAGTCTCCATGAAATATATGGGATCGTAGTTTATTTCTTTTTATTCAAGGAAATCAAAATGCGCCATACCATATTCTGGCACACTTCTAACGCTACGGCTTTCGGGCACAATAATCAAAGCTTCTTTTAGCATGTCTTAGTTTGACATAACTTGCCCTCAAAT